ACGCGCGTAACGACCAAAAAACCTGCTTCTCCGCTGCCTGCCCTCTCCCCGTGATAATTCTCAAATTAATTCCCCGTGTGGCCACGCGCGCGCCGCTTGTTCCGGGGCGCTGGAGCAAGCGGCCGCACGGCGCCGCTGATTTATAGCGCCCAGCGGGGATATATCTCTGCCGCTGGCACTTATAATATTCGTGCGGCATAAATTATCATTTTAATAAGAGGCGGCGTGTCGCGGAGAGCGTGTCGCCGTCTTGACGGCCTAATCAATTGTCCAGGCGCTTGCGGTGGCATCGGTGATAGGGGGGCAATTAAAATAATGGGGCGGGGACTTTTTGGGATGGCCGTTGTAATAAGGATACTGGTTATGGTCGTGTCCGCGTTGTTGATGGTAGTGGCAGAGATAGGGTAATGGTAATGTTAGTGATAGTGCTGACGGTTTGGTAATGGTAGTGGTAGGCCGTGGAAGTGGACGTGAAAGTGGTAGTGGTAATGGTAGTGGTAGTTAGTAGCAATGGAAGTGATGGAGGTAGTGGGAGTGGTAGAGGTGGAGGTGGTGGAAGGAGCGCTTTTGGTGGTAGCGGTATTGCTGTTGCAGTAACGGTATTGGATGTGTCGCTAGACGGAACTGATGGAGACATAGCAACATGTTGATGCGAGAGCTGATGCAGTAATTATTACTCAGATATAATTATTGTGATAATTGAATCAGTAAATATAATTACAAACAATGACTGTAACCCATTTATGATTAAAAGAATAACAAGGATAGGTGGAGGCACTTGGATGTTACAGATGATGAGGATGGTGATACTTCTATTAATGGGTGTTTGATGGTGATGGCGATTGTGAAGAATCAAGTTGGAAATAAAGTTAAAGAGAGCAATTGTATTGAAGATGATTAAATTTATGCTTGTGCAGGAGTGTTTGCCCTCCCCCCCAGTGGCCGAGTGAGAATGGTGACGAGGGTATTTGACACTGGGAATGTCAATGGTGATGGTGGCGGCGGTGGCAGCGGTTATTGAGAGAAAGCGACACGTGCTCCGTTGCCAATCTATCTGCTCGTTAACTGCACACAAAGAATTGATTTGAGTCACGAGGAAATAGCAATGAAAAATAGGGGGTGATCAAAACTTTTCCTGACGTTCCGTAATTGAAATTAAAGATTTATTTCTCATCTGCATAGCAGGTAGACGTTAGAGGCAGTGCAACCCAGTCTTTAGGTCTTGCTGCCTTTAGGTGGAATCTATGATGGGCAAGTAACGTTGCTCTTGCTTGATTGCCTCGCTCTTCATTATATCTCTGACGTTTTAATAAACCCAAGTTTTCAAGTAATTTTAGTACAGGTCGCTTTTCATTATGGTCTGTAAACTCTGTGAACTAACACTCGTAAAATTTAAAAGAAAATATTTTAAATATCGATTTGGAAGTAAAACACTTCATGATTATGTCATGTTGGAGGAATTTCACAATTTTGAACATTATGAAACAAACACTGACGCCAAAAATTTAATTAAAAATTAAAATTTTTGAAAATTGTGTAAGTGACACATATGTAATGTCTCTGCAGATATGAGCATAGGGTAAAAAACATTCTTTACGATACAAGTATTATCTTTACAGACGATAATAATATGCTACAATTCAAAAAAGGAAAACTATTTAGAGTTAGTAATCACAAGAGAAACATATTGTGATATTCTCCAAGGCTAATATAAATATTGAAAATAACATAGAAGTTGTAAGGCTTCAAAACTGGAAATAGACTATTCACTGGTAACATTCAGATGGTAAAGACTTAAAAAATTGAAATTTTTCTAACAAAATGAGTTCGGATGCTTCACAAGGGTTAGTCCAACCTCTGTGGTGTTCTAAACCCTACCTTATCCTAATTCCTTCCTAATTCTGGCCGCTGGGTAGTGACGCCGGAGTATACCCTCTTGGCAACTGACTGCGACGAGACGTGACAAAGGTAGATAATTTTAATGGACGATTACTATTCAAGGGGTTTGGAGACACGTTGCGTCAATCATGGCGCAACAAATTAAAAATAATATATCAAGATTCATTCTATGACGAAGAATAAGGTTTAACTAGAATCTACTGACTAGTAATACATTTAGTGTGCGAATACAAAACGGGAGGTAAATTTGTTTCTTTGTCCCCAAGAGAACGAACATGTCCAAAACTTTATCAGAACTACAATGTGTGCTCGACAACGCATTTTGGAAAGTGATTTTGACTGCATGTGCTTTCTGTACAGTGAGGGACACAAACTATGTACAACGAAACAAGTAGAAGAGTGCAGTAATTTGTAATAAATGAAAATTCGTGATCATTTGATGCAACATTCCTTTATAAATATAACTACAAACCAAAATAAATATAACTACAAACACCGCATCGCCGCTCGAGACGCTTCGAATTAGATAGATAGGTTTATTAAAGTTTGCTTTGAGTTAATGATCGGAGGCAAACACGATTACAATTAGAATTAGAACAATTACAAAACTATTACAAATATTTACTATTATAATTTCTATTAGAATCAGAGGTTGTTATCATCGTACTAATTAATATCTAGTTACCCCTAAATTGACTTCTAGTTTATCTAACACTTCACTACGTTACACTGAACTCCCCTTCCCTACACTCCACCACAGTACACTACACTTCAGTTTACTGTATAAGGGACACGGCCATATTAATGATAATAATAATAATAATAATAATAATAATAATAATAATAATAATAATAAAGTCTCAGTATAATTATTGATGATCTAGATGAAATTACGCATATTTTTAAATTTCATTACATTAGAAGGAAGAGCCTCTAGTGCTTTTGCAGGTAGTTTGTTCCAATCCACTATAGTGCGATTCACAAAAGACTATGTCAGAACTTGCCAATATCAGTTATTTGTTTTCTTCATCGTATTTTCCAAGGATGGTTTCCTCTGATTTCATAATCTGGTTTCTGTAATCTCCTACCAATACCTGCCCATGCTGTGTCCCCTCTGTATTTTTTCTACATTACGCATAAACGGATCCGGTCCCTTCTCTTAGATAAAGACTCCCATTCATCACTTAAACACTGAAAAAAGAGAACATTTTCTGTTTTTTCAACACGCGAAAAGAGCTACACAAATGAGTGCAGAGCAACGACCATAAGATACATGTAAATGACCCCTCGGGAGCCGTAAAAACAGGAAGTTGCAACCGAGACATGCAAGGCGATTTGCTGCAGGTGTCGTAAAACGTTCGAGAGCGGACGAGTGGTCGAGACGCCCACCGGCTGGGAAGTCACGTGTGTCAGCTCCTGTTTCAGTCACCTGCGTCTTCGCTGCTCCAAACGCGCCGCAATGTTTCTGTCGGTGAAGTGCGAACTGTCTGTAACGCTTATGTTCATTCTCTTGGTGCTGCCTTTGACTTACTCTGTACTTGCCTCTGACCAACATCTCAGGTGGGTTTTCGCATGCGGATGAATGTTGCGATCAGGGTGTTTATTAACTATTCTGTGTGCCAAACGTCTTGTTCTTGATAAATGGATGACAGTGGTGGCATCGCAAGTTGTATCAGTGTAATCGCTAATAGCAGAATTATGCCACAAAATGTACTAATCTATTCATTCGTATCGATAGCCGACCGCTGACTGGAAGCAATCATGAAATGGTGGGACTGCGGTATTCCCATCAGTGTTTTGTATTAGATTCATTTACTTTGAAAGAATTATTGACTTTTTGACATCTTGTTTGTTTATTACTGACTTCTTTTTGATCATCGTTATCTCAAGTTGATTATCTTTTTTTTATTTTCGTTAATTCCTATTTGTGTTAATTTTTTTGATTCTTAATTAGGTGCGCGGATGTCTGCTAACATAATATACCATGATACAAATACGCCAAGCAATTAGGCACGTTAATTACCTATCTTTAATTCTTACTCCAGGACATAATAATGTGAGTACAATCTTGCGAATATGCGATGTGTGTCCTCAATATTAAAATAGGGTTTAAAAACGGCATAAAATGTCATGGATTAAAGTTCTTGCTGAAAAAGGAAGTCGGTGGTGAAGAGCGTCGCAAAAAATCGACTTTCGAAATTTTCGAAAACTTAGAGGTTTCTTTGAAAATCAGACCTGCATAATTTTTACGAGGGTATTTACTAGCACGATCCGAACAAAAAATCCGGGCCAAAATCTGAGATTTAAAAAAAACGATAAGATTTTTTGGCGCTAGAAGTCAAATATTTCCAACATTTGAAAGATCCGTTCCAAATTCTAGGTGTCGATCGGGGCATATCTCTTTGGGTGGAAATTCTGTGTACGGTTTTTGTCTTCGGACTATTAACAGACAGACGGTCGGACGGAAGGAAAGATAGACATACGTTTTGCCAAAAATACATTTTCACATCAAGGAAACAAACTTGACTAACACTGAGTGCAATAACATAAAGTAATGTACTACGTTTTAGAGCAAGAAAAATAATGTTTTTCTACATCGTAGATCTACAATAAGAATATAAAAAGCATGCAAAAATTGTTGCTACAACTGTTACAGGCAATCCTTAAATGTTGAAAATCTTAAGTTGATTTTTAGTGGACCATACAACCGTGATTACTTGAATTTACAGGGTCTCACAGCACCATGTTTTCTTGCCCAACATTGACGAAAAAACGGCCTATTTTTCCATAATCGACAACTTAATTATTTTAAAGAGCAAGATGTACGTTGAATCAATGTCTTTTCTTGTAAAATAAACATTACATATTTTTCCACATAAGAGTGTGGCTATTTTTTCGTAGGGAACGTGATGTATCAATTTTATTTAAATAGGATATATTGAGTGGAATTTAACTAAAAGAGTTAAAAATTAAGTTATAAGTAACTCTAAACAGTATGGTAAAAAATAGGCAAATAAATTGAAATTAAATGAGTAAAGTTCGTATTGAAAAATCAATAAAAATGGATGTATATCGTAAATTGAAAAATATATTTTCTATTTCATAATATCGTAAATTCTAATAACAATCTCAATATGAAGAGAATTTTATTGATTAACATCTCAATATATATATATGAATTCTGTATCGTTTTACCCTCCCCCCCCTTTTTCAGGTTTTGCGATGAGATTTGCCACACGTGCAACAAATGAAAATATTTAATAGTAGCTACGATAATTACTTGCGAAATGTGAAATTCTCTTAATGAATTTTGCAATGATCCTTTCAAGTTAACAACAAGATAATTCAAAACCATGTGCTTTTAGTCACTGAATGTGATTACGCTTTATGTCAAGAATATTGTAAGTTATTTATGGCATTTAAAGAGATAATTCACTTCCTCATTTTTTGTTTGTAAATCATTCTTTATTGCATCATTTTCACTAAAAAATGTTTTTGAATAAATTTCCTTATAAATATCTCATATGGGGAATGAAAATGAAATATAATAATTGTGATTTCTCAAAAGTGATACAAGTGATAACATTAAAAAATAATAATTAAAGAGAAATAATTTTCTCTTATGCATTTCGTTGCATTCTTTGAGAAGTAGGTACATATAATGTTTTTAAATTTAATATTTTGATTACTGAAAAACATAAATATTATATGTAGTATGTTTCCTTGCGCGTTTTAATCACTATGCGCATGTAAATAATATTGAAGTCATCAAAAATATTTTGATATAATATGTTACGTTAAGCTGCGAAGGAGGTAAATGTACAATAACTACTGGTATTTAAGAATAATATTGTACCATTTTCTTTGATGAACTAGTACAAATTAATTGTCATGGTCTTTCTTTTTCAGCTACTGCAAGCAGGTCTGTGAGGCGTGCCAAGACTGCGAACAAATAGTGATGACAGAAATTATTAGAAATACTTTACAAGTCTGTGAATCGCTTTGTAATTTTTGCAAGAAATGTTCTATAAAATAGAAAGAACTTTTGAATGCTACTGATGTAGTTCTGGAAGATAAAACTAAATAAAAGTATTATTAGAATGCCCTATATTATTTCAATCATTTCAACAGTTAGAATTAGTTCATCTGGCACTAAATCAAAAGAAAAAAGCTTGCTTTTGAAAACTACACATTGCAGATGCTTCTCTATAATAAGTCATTAACATTCATTCAAATGTAAGACTACATATATGTTTTAAGTTTGTTCGTATATGTGTCTCTGCGTTTGGGCTACACTCTGAAACAGCTCGAAATGTAAGAACGTTTTTGAAGCATTGAGAATGTTTGGTTAAATTATTTAAATTCTTCCTTATCTTGCTTAACACCGTTCTTCCATATACAAATCAATCTTTCAAGTATGCGTAAACTTAATCAACTGCGTCCAACAGAACTTTTTTTTCTTAAATATAAACGCAGACTTTTCAGTAAAGTTCCGAGTCAATTTATTGTCATCATCTCTCATGCCAGTAAAATGTTCGTCGTTTTAGAATTGTGAAAGACATTATAGATTTCTACATTAACTTATTAAATATATGTAAAATGAATGTTAACCTTAATTTACAGAATATCTATTTAAATATGTAATCAGTTGAAGGATAAGGCGAAGAAACATAATAAAATTATTTCTCTCTCAGAATTCAAATTTGACTCTCAAAAAGAATACATAGATACCTCATTTTGAAATGAATATAGCAGTAAGTGACCGCTCTTTCTTGAAGTCATCTGCTCTTTTAAATATTCCTCGTCCGACTTCATTTAAACTAGTTTAGATTACTTTCTTACGTGGCGCTCTTATCCACTATGGAAAAAAGGAAATTGATTTCGCACGTTATTTTGAGATTATCTCATTGATTCGCATTGGTTCTCCGGAGAGGTACATCAATGAAATGGTAATCTATTGGAAGTACACAATGACGCAAGAGCACAAGTCAAATTGAACGCTCTGTGTTCGAAAAATAATGAATATATTGTATACACAGTGGTTACATAGTAACGAAAAGGGCATCGCGTAAATACCACGTTGTCATATCTCATATCTCTGAGCAAAGTCAAATTCCACTTTCATGAGGAAGAATTGCGCATTATAGACGATTACAAGTTCGTAAACTGCTAAGGCTGTTATCCCCGTAAGTGTAGTGAATGTTTTATCGCTGTAAGAGGAGGTGGTAGTGGTGGAGGTTATCTTCTCTCTCTGGATGGCGAGATCCGACGCAGACCTACGTCGGCTTGCGGGGATTTTCCGCAACTAGGTATCTCCCACCAGCGTAACACCGCCTCCGCCGGGACAAGCTCTAAGCTCCCGACCGGTCTCCCGTCGTGTGTGGTAAATTAGTGTACGTCAGTATGTAAGTAAGTAAGGGGCGAGAAGAGGCAAAGAAGAAAAACGAAAATCACGTGCGTTTCGTGGGGCGTTTGCTAGGATTCTACTCCGCCATTCGCCTGGCGTTGATCGGGGAAACGCGGAAAACTGCCGATCAGAGCAGCCGAATTCTAGAATTCTCGTCCTGGCAGCGGCTGAACTCGACCTACCTGCAAGCTAGCGTCGAAAATCCTGCCACCATCGGGGCTCGAACTCCAGGAACTACCAGTCAGGTGACATCAATTGCAGCCCGCACAGAAGAATCATTGATCGCCCGCATCATTGATGTCTGCCGTGACATCTGTTGATACCCTAAGCTACCTTTGCCGGTAATGATATAGTACGAAATAGGACCTCTAAGGTCTATTTTAAGCAATCACTTAATGCAAACTAATTCCCCTAATTCGTAAAGTGATGGATTTGACTCTAAGGCGGCCTCCCGCTTAGTGCCAGCGGACGTGATTGGTGGCCCATCGTGCATGAAGCGGGGGGCAAAGACGGCAGCTGCTAAATGTTGGATAGCGGAATATCTAATGCGGAAGGGTCCGTGAACTATCGACCGCTGCAATACGTGGCATATGCCGATCCACGCGTCTGGTTCCTACACGTGTCCCTTGTCCGAATGCCCTGACATGCACCAGCCTACCATGAATATGCCCGGTCTCTTCATTAAACTCGTCCTAATTTGACGTGAACATTGTCACACGGCGAAGCTAGTGCTTACCGTCTGGGGTGGACTTACAGACTTCCACCATTTCCAGTACAATTCAAACAGTGCAAAAGGAGCTTTTTAAAGATAATAAAGTGTATGGAAAGGGAATAATTGCGAACGTTATAGAAAGTTGATCCTGTTTTCTTCATTCACGTATTAATTCATTGGCTCAATCATTCATTCATTCATTCGCTCAACACCCGTCGGTTGCTTTTTCATTTATTCGTTCATATTCATCATCCTTTAATTCATTTATTTCTGAAATATATTTAATTGCTCGAAATGTACATTCCTTGATTCTTCTCAATAATGCCACTGACGTTATCGGAGCACACGTACTAATGGAAAGATCGTTATACTCCGTTCCAATTATACCGAGCAGCGTTCTTTAATTCCTACAAAGACTTGTTTACAAGTAACTCTTCGTGTTTTCGTTTTGCTTGGCGTGCCGTTCGGGAGTGCGGAATGAAGATACGAAACATGCACGCCAGAAGCAGTGCTATTATGACACATCCTGAATGTTTTTATGGCTGTTCCCGTAACCATTAACTACACATTGCAAAGAAGGATTGTATCCGGTAAAAGAACTACATATCTCTCTCCAATTAACCTTCAGTTTATTTTTAGGATGATTTATGTAACCCAAACAAGAACAGGAATAATTTTCGTAACAATGAACATACAATATACATATTATATTAGAAAATAAATAAATAAAGTACACTCTAACAACACAAACATGATCAAATCACATACACAACCTACCAATATTGTCTGTACTTGGCGCGACAGCCCGCAAACGCGTTAGGGCCTGACAGCTACGCCCCAGCCTCGCGACCATGGGTTCTTAAGGGATACGCGTGGTCAACACGAAGACATCTCAGCGCCCTTTTCTGGCCTTCTCAAGCGAATTTTCTCATTGTCACTCAGCAATATATACTGGGACATTGCAAGAAATACAAACACTATAATCTTGCCCCGCTGGGATTGAACCCGGGGTCGGGTCCTGGAAAGCGAGAACCAATTATGTAATCCGCGAGCGCAGTAGAAAATATTTTCGTACTTACGAAATCTTTGTTATCTCCTAGTGTAAAACACTATTCGTAAATTGAATGTTATAATTTTAAATCTTATACAGCCTCGGTTAATTTTATTTAAGTCCGACTTCGATATAATTTATGGCCATTAATCAGTATCTCAATATAACAGTTACGTCAAACGATATCATGCCTCAATCCGTGAGATGCGGATTGTTAGAGTTTGTCACTGAAAATTATCAAGCAGATTTGAAAGAAACACTCTGCAATGAGGTACAACAGCGTATTTTGTAACAGCCATTCTACTACGCATCTCATCATCCTATTTTCCACAACACCGCAAAGAGCCCAAGGTTGTCAGCTGACAGCTACACTATAACCCACAAAAGTAATCTGTGGGTATACGAGTGTGGTCTTGTAGTAACGCAGTCATTACTGGCTTCTTATAATTTTTGAAGAATTAAAGAAAAAAATACTGAAGAACAAAAACCCACGCCATTATATAATCTGAAACTTCAAGCACATTTTCTCCAACCTTACACCTTCAACACAAAAGTAAACGTTTCAATGTATCTTCGATGTGTCCAGAAGCGATAAAAAGTTACTTCGAAGCCCGCTTCTCGACGTGCTGTTGTCACTCGACAAGAAATCGACAGGACGAACTCTCCCGACCTAACAGCCGCCTTTAAGACGTACGATTCGGCGGCTTAGATAGGCTGCGTGAGAAGATAAAGCGATGGAATCAGGAGTGCTTGCGTCGGCAATAAATCAGCCAAAGGCTGCCCGGTGCGCCCACCCCTCGTGCAGCTTTCGTCCAATTCATCCGAGACGTCGACACGTAGTCGCCCAAGGGGACAGGCCATTCCATTAGGAGAGAACCTGTGGTGGATACAACGGCTACATTTTGCAT